GGAAAGGAGAAACTAATTCGGTAATATCCAATAACAATGATGAAAAATTAGGAGTAAAACGGTCAAAAAAAGGTATTAGAGTATGAAGAAGAAGAAGAAGAATAGCGAGAAGATGATGACAAAGATGATGATGATAATGATGAGCAAGAATTTTTTTCACTTTGTTGCCACTGGTTGCAGTTAACAGTTGCACAGAATTGATCAAAATAAAAAAAAAAAAAGCTTTTTTTTTTGCTGTTTATAAAAAAAAAAGTTTAAAACACTAAAATAAAAAGTTTCTTTTTTTTTAATTGTTGTTATAAATAGTATGTATTTAGTTATAATTTGAAAGTTCTAAAAGCAGCAACAGCGATATTAATGAGAATAAGAACAAAATAACGACGAAGTGAAACACAGTTACCACCACCGTTACCAATATCACCACTATTATTACCATCATCACCGTCACTGTTGTCAATATAGTCACCTCTGTCATCAGCATCAGCATCAACATTAACATCAGCCACAGTATCAGCATCGGCATCAGCATCTGTATCTGCATTTGTTCTCGTCTGTGTCGACAACAAAAGCAGTAGTAAAAGCTATGGCAGCGTCAATCACAAACAGATGAAAAACGATGAGAACATTGGGTGTATAAAAAACTTTTCAATTAAAATTTGGTTAGTTGAAATGCAAGTAGAAGAGCATTGGAAGGGAAGTAAGGAGGGGGAGAGGGGGGGGGGGGGGGAGGAGAACCAAAAAAAACACAGATGCACCCAACTTCTCATCTTTTTTTTTTTGGTTTTTTTTCTTTGCTTTTATTTTTCTTTTCTACTTTTTTCGTGTTTTTTAATGGCAATTTTTTTTGTTATTTTTTTTCTATTTTTTTCCTTTAAACCTCTTTTTTTTTCTTGTCTTCATCATCATTATTAACATCTTCTTCTTCAAAAAAATGTACCTTGAAAAAAATTTTTTTTCTCTCTAAACTATTCTATACAACGTTTAGTCAAATTAAAACCGTTCAGTTTCATTTTTTTGTCTTTCTTTTTTTTTTGATTTGTTTTTGTACTTTTTTTTTTAATCTCTTTTTTTTTTCACTCAGGAAAAGAGCAAAACCTTTATATTTGTCAATAAAATTATCGGCAACAGGAACAGTGGCAGTAGAATTATCGTCTTCGTCACCGTCGTCATCCTCATCAACAGCAAAGATCTGTGACTGAAAAAAAAAAAGTTGCTGAGCAGTAATATTTTTTTTTTATTACAAATATATATATATATATATATATAT